CTAAAATGCCGCAATTCCGTGAAACCCGGACACTTTTCCATGTACTGAAATTTCGGGATTACAGATCCGGGATCCCTAAATTTTTACTGATTCATTTACAGAATGATAGAGATGTTGAAAACAAAAAAAAAAGAATTCATTTGACATGACACACGATAAATACAGAACACCCAAACTTCGGTTCAAAGTGAACTGAATGAATTGAAAAACGCGAACCCACTGTAAAATGCAAAAGTTGTGATGAAGTCGAAAGCCTGTAAAATCTCGGGATCCCGGAATTAGAATTTTGACATCCCGAATTCCGAGTTTGTTTATATGCTTCGGGATTGAATGCCCTAGTATGTACATACCTTCGTTCAAGCCTACTCGTCCAACTAACGTTCGGACATGCAGTCCAGGTTTACTCCATTCATGAGCAAATAAAAGCGAAAAAATGACCGGAAGCTCAACGACTGGGCCAACATGCCGCGTCCAAGCGATGCTAAGCACACAGAGATTACTTACAAGCAAGCTACACTCACTTTGCTTCGTTTATGAATTTGCACAAACTTTACGCTTTTTTCGCCTCTGAAGAACTCGAAAAAAAAATATTTTACTTTGTAGTTAAAGCACTGTGGTGGCCGCAGTGCAAAATAAATATGCATAAAAAATGCAACCGAAATAAAATCAACAACAGAAAGCCACTAGCAGTTCATAAGTAGCGCTGCAGACCTATAAGTGCCGCAGACACACGCTGTTTCACACCTCCCACAAATCGACCCGCCTAGCCCGAGTTAGCGCTGCATTTTGCGCACAGAAGCTAGTTGAGCTTCATAGATTTTGTAATTCTAACAATAAATGGCTTGATAATCGGCCTTCTCATTCCATGCTTTTATATTCTTTATATTCTTTGTAAAATGTGCTATTTTTTATTCACTTGGAGCAAAAGCAGTCGGCACATTAGTCAAAGGGTTAAGTGCTAACTCACAGCTCCTACATTTTTCGGTCTGTCCTCTACTTTGTCCGTTATGTTTATACCGCAGCGCACTTGTGCACAAGGGTATTATAACTTTGTTCGCATAACAGTTGTTTGTAACAGCCAAAACGAGTAGATAAATGCTCAGAATGAAAAGAGAAATCGACTAAGCCTGCATGTCTGTCCGTCCGTCCGTCTGTCCGTCTTTCTATCCGTGTACACGATAACTCGAGAAAAAAGTGAGATATGTCCACGAAATTTGGTAGCTAAGTTTCCCCTTATTCAAGGTAGGTTGGGATAGAAAAGTGGAGACATCGGACAATAACTCCACGCCCACCTCCCATATAACGGTATTTTCGAAATATGCAAACACTACGATACTTTCGAAAATACTGGATTCAAATAGTTGAAAGTTGGTACGCGAAGTAGAATTTTAGCATACCATAAGACAGTTGTGAAATTTTTTGAAAATGGGCGTGGCACCTCCCACTTACGATGAAATGCTGTATGTCTGTAGTCCCTTCACAAATTCCCACCAAACTCGGTACGAACACCTTGAAAATTTTTGCAATCAGACAAGCACCACGCCCACCTCTCATATAACGGTAATTTACAGAAATACGAAAACTGCGATAAATTAGTAACTAATTAAAGCTAATTTACTCAAACGAAAATCTTACTTAGGGGATTTAAAAAAAAATGGGCGTGGCACCGCCCACTTACGCTTACATATGTGTATCTCAGTGACCGATTTATCAATTTCTACCAAACTCAGTACAATTATCAAACTTGGGTCAAAAAAGCGATATGTTGAAAATTTTTGGAAGCGGACTAAAATAACCGTCAACTACCATATAACGGTAAATTTCAGAAATACGAAAATTCCGATATTTCATTAACTAAACACGCCAACTTACAACAATCTCTTAACAAAACACAATATTATTGGTTTTTGTAAAAAGGGGTTTGGTCCCACCTACTTATGGCTACATACATAGGTGTATATTGATAGCCCCTTATCGATTTCCACCAAACTTGCTCCAATTATTTAAATATCTCATAGCATATTATCGAAACTGCAGTTTACTGAAGGGTGAAAAAACTATATTTAATACGTGCGCCGGGTATATAAACTTATACTTTTTTGTATAGGGTGCATGTGCAGTGCCTTAAGTGATAGGAAGTCTAATAGGTTGTTGACTAAGAGATTTAGCAGCAAATATTTACGTACATATGTATATGTGAAGCAAGACCTCTTATTGTTTTTAAAATTGTAATTGTATATTTTGTCCTTTCTCCCGCCAGATTCCTGCACTGCGTGAGCGAGCATATGAAAGAACTGAAGCCCTTCGGCGATGTGCCTGATAAACTGGCTTTGCAGATAAAGCGTTCTTTTGTGGCGACGCGCACCTACTGGCAAGCGCTGCACACAGCAGCTGAAGTGTCAAAGAAGTTAATAAATGTAAGTAAAGTTTTAAAATGCTAACTCTAAACTTCTGAAACAAAAATGGAAAAAAAAACATTACTACACAATGTGCTAATAATGCTGTCTCTCCCTTCTCTTCTAGGTGCACCTCAATGCCGATTGCACGGCTGCGCTCACGAAAATGCAACACTGTGGCGCCTGTAAGGGCTATGCGCAGAAACCCTGCACAAATTATTGTGTTAATGTGATCAAAGGTTGTCTACATTATGTCAACGAATTCGACTCGGAGTGGGAGAACTTTGCGGTAGCCATGGACAAAGTGGCCGAACGTTTGCTGGGCTCATTCAATATTGTGATGGTCGTTGAGCCGATTAATATCAAAATTTCCGAGGCGATTATGAACTTTCAAGTGAGTTGAATTTACTGTTGAATGGTTTTGATATCGATATTGATATTTTTTAAGTATAAATGTATATAAATATGTATGTATATGCAAATGTCTTTGCTGTGAACATTTGGCGAAATTCATTCAGAAAAGTCATAAAATTTAAATCTAAAGAATCGTAAAAGTTAAGAAGCTAACGGGTGATTTTTTTGAGGTTAGGATTTTCATGCATTAGTATGAGCTATAAAAGTCGATCTATAAAAGCTGATACATAAAGTTTTAGAGAAACTAAATATGCTTTGAATTTATTAGTTAGTCTTTGGTTGTTTAGTCACGTCATTAAATTAATTGAGCTTTTAAGCAGTTTAATAAATTTAAGCAGCCGGTTAATGTCCGCTTATTAATTTCTAGTTCAGCCTTTTTCGTAATGAATTTTTAGTGCTACTAATGCTGTTGACTTTAAATTTTCGTACGAATAATATGTGTAAATAAATAATATAAATTTAAATAATCTACCGACAAGACGCTTTAAATAAAAAAGCTGTCTAATCAAATTTTAGATAAGAAAACTGGTATGCCTTAAAGATCAGTTCAGACGAACTGGTCAAATGGATATTTCGGTCGAACTGGGCCCTTACTCTGTATTTCGAATCGAAAAGAAGTTCTGTTCGAACGCCTAATTCTTTTATAGTACCAATCGTTCGAATTCGGACAAATTTACTATCGATTCGAACTACAGAGTAAGGGCCCTGATATGTAAGGTCAGGTGCTATCGCCCGTAAACTCTTCTCACGACGGAATACTCTAAAACTGGCGCACACTCGATAGCAGCATTGTCTGTCGGACCTAGGCTTGGCGTAAATCTGCAAACTACAAGCTTTGGTTAGACAAGCCAGGTAAATTGTCAGTCGTTCAAGTTAAAGCTGACCAAAAACCCTTAATCTAGTCCGGCTCTCAACCGTGCACTCGACGGGACTCTACATTCTTTACCTTAAGTTTCTTTAGTTGCAACCGATTTCTGTGGAATACCCGAATTCTCGACATAGTACGAAGTTCATAAGGTCGATATCTCTAATTTCCAAACCTTTGTACCCGTGACAGTCCGAGAACATTTTTCTTTCTAACGTCTTTCTGTCGGCCTAGAAATTTATGTCCTTGGTCCTAGATCTAAATAATATGTAGAGACCAAATTCCTGTGGATCAACTCTCTTATCGTACTCCATTGTTGATTCAAATTCAACCCCTAATTTGCACTTTCTGTTCATTATTTGAGCGCCTTGACAAAGTATTTGTAGACCAAATCAATTTTCTAAACATACACCTATTACCTGAATTGAAATTTTATTACTAAAATAATTTACATATATATTTAACTTTATACTTTTGTTGTTAAGGGTATGCCACATAAATCCGTTCACGGTAGCTAGACCCATTCATAGTCATACAGTTGCAGTCAAAATAATAGTAGTGCGCCCACCGTTGGATTTTTCTGCTAAATGTTTATGTTGGTTTTCATTTTAAAAACTACTACTAATTACAAATTGTATCGTAAAGCAAAACTTAGTAAATTAGTTCATTATATTCTTTTAAAATAACATTTTATACCTTGACCTTTACATATCAACGGCCAAAAAATTGTTGTGCGATTTTCCTTAATAAAAATATAGTTAAACTAACTACTCTTTCCCCATACAATACAATTGTTTTGAATCATGATCGGTGAACAGCCAACAATGTTCTGAAACTCGTTGTAAGTTTATTTTTAATAATTCTGCGCTGTTCAGTCGTGCAATGTTTTCCTCGTCCCATTTCTAAAACAGATTAGAACCGATTTGCACCAAAACATTAATAGACCGCATTAAGAAATGTAGTACTTACCGCTTTTTAACTTTTTTACACAAATAAATATTTTATATAGGTTTTTTTGGCAGCTAAGTCCTGGCTCTAATATTTTGAATGGCTCAATAGCCAACACTTCTGAGATTGCGCGTACAATTGCTAACGTTTACAATTATGACAACCCTTTTTCTATCACTTTATCTATACAACAACACTATCTTAGACAGAATGCATAATAGGGAAAGTAACGGAATATATTAAACGCATTGAACTATATACATTATTTAGTAGAACTACTATTATTTTGACAGCAACTGTAGCTTCTAAGTTGCTGCTGCTACAAAAGCTGTTTATAAAGAATCACTTAGGTAATCTTCTTATTGTGGTGGCGGAAATTAGTATAAATGCTTCATTCGATTTTCTCTAAATTAACATATAAATTTATTGCCTTTTTGTATTGCGCCTTTCCTGCCTTGTTAACATCATCAACCAAATTTAGCCGCAATCTCATAAATTTTTTCTGTTTATTTCTTCTGTTTCTGCTTTTTTAATTGAGTTTATTTTATTTCTTAATTTTGTACCTGCTGTTATACCAAATGAATTTGTTTACAATTATTTTACTAATTAAAATTCCACAAACGCGCTTTCGAGTTTCTTCTAAATTTATTGCAAAATCTTTGTTTACTTGAAAATCAGCTGCTCAGCACAGTCGTTGCCATATTGGCTACCTGAAGTAAGCAACTTTTATTAGATTATTTTCTTACGTTTTTTTTTTGTTTCTTTTTTCTAAATGAATGTTTGCAATGTTTTGTTTTTTTTCGCTTATTTGTTGTTATTCAATTAATATTTCATTTCGCCAGCTCATGGTTAAATTTATAACCCGCGGTGCTTTTGTTTACTCAATGCGCGTACATTTTTCTTGTATGTTTGTTGTTTTGGTTTGCCTAGTCTTCGCTTTGATCTTTTATATTTTATGGCTTTCCTTTGGTTTCTGCAGTGATTTGTGTGCAATTTAAAGCCAAACCAAAAACAAAAACAAAAACAAACATATCTTTAATGCTGTCTGGCCAGGCCAGGCGTAGGTGAATAGATTAAATGACTGGCGAAAGGTGTTTTCCGCAAATTGACAGCTCAGCTATTTTCAATATTCAAAATCTGTTCGATTGGAATAATTTATTACTGCGTGGTACGAGTATGCAGTTCTCTTTGTAAATATTTTGGCGGGAAATTGGATTTATAAAGCTACTGGTTTAGCAATAAAATGAGCATACAATTGTTTTTCGGATAAGCAGCCAGATTTTTATGGAATTCCTTTAAACAAAAGTTAGTGTGTTATTTTTTTTAGTTTTATTTAATAAATTCACATTTTTGGAATCGAAAAAGTTCGAATATTTTATTGCCAGCAAAGTGAATCCGCAGAATTTTTAGGTTTTCTTCTGTTATGGATACTAAGAGTTTTTTTTTATAATGAGACCTTTAATAGCAGCCCTAGAATTTGAGCAAATTAGGGAAATCGTCTGGCTAGGGTATAAAATAATTAGTCGTAAATTTAATAATTTCATAGATTACTTAGTGTTGGTATTATTTCTTGTTTTGGTACAAGTATTAGTATTAGTTTTGGTACCGGTTTTGCTATTGGTTTGGTATTGGTACTGTTATTGGTATTGGTATTACTATTATAATTGATGTTGATGTTGTTAATGGCCCTGGTAATGGTATTTGTATTTATATTGGTACATATTTGTATTGGTATTGGTATTTGTACTGGTATAGGTAATGAGGTTGGTATTATTATTAGTATTTGTACTGGTGTTATGAGTACTGTTATTCGTATCGCCCTCGGTACTGGTAATGGTATTGATACTGGCATAGTTAATGCGTTATATTTAATTATTCACAAGTGTAAGTCTGCGGCTCATTCCCAACACTTTAAATTTGCTTAGTGATCCTTATTGTTGTTCAACATGTAATTCAAGCAAATACAAATGTGACCGCATTTAGCAGCTCATTTTCACCTAGCTAATAAATAAACTTATTTACTGACAAAGGTGTACATAGCTAAATATATTTGTGTTAGTATGTCTTTTATCTGATTTCCTGTAATTGATAGTCATAAATTGTCAGACATTTCACTTTCATTGTACTGCAGCGAATGCAAGCAAAACACCGCAGTACCACATTAGATCCATATTTATTGACTCTTGGGAGCTAACAGATATCTACCTGGTGGTGAGGTAGCGCACATTATTACAAATCCATTTACATATACATACATATATCATGAATCGTTGTAGGCTAATCTGAAACGCACAAATATGTATGCATATTTATGTGTACGATTAAGCGTACTTGCCTAGTTAACGTGAGTACTAACATTACAGCTATTAAACCACTTTTGCGGTTAACTTGCTGCAATCGACTAACCAATAAAAAAATACGAGTATGAGTATTTGTAAATCACATTCTTTCGAACTATGTAAATATGAAACTGCGTGAGATATGTCAGAGCAATGTAGCGTGCTGGGGTGCCAAGTTGCAGTGAGGTGCCAATGAGGAGCCAAGATAGTACGCAAGATAGCGTTTAGATACAAACATATGTATATCTACATATCCACACATAAGTGGGTACGTAAGATACCCGTACACATATTTGCCAAGTACTTGACTCATAGTGCCACAATGAACGCTGTAGCAGACAAACGCATTTGGATAGGCTGCTTGAGCGTGAGTAGAGTTCATGTACTGGCAAGTGTTTATTCTACCACACATCTTTGGATGCAATCGTATATCATGTAGTGATTTCTCAGGCATACATACATATTAATTTAACTTTTTCGTTATCAGTTTCCATCACTGGGCCGCGTTAAATCTTTTTTATGGCACTTCATTTGTTGCCATTTACTTTTAACTATTTCAAATGCTGATATGCCTGTAACCACATACATATGTATGCATGTATGTACACATGTGAGTAAAAGTAGGTGAATTGTGGCACACATCTCAAGCTGTACATACATATGTATTTACCTTAGCCACGATAAGCTCATATTCACCCAAACCTATTTCTCACATGCTCATTTGGTTTGGTAAGACATAATATTTTTGCACTCGTGAAATTATAACCGCATTATAACCGCGGCGCGGCTGTGGTTTACAAAGCCACACTGTTGTTGTTGCCTCAAATTTTCCAGCAATAAGTTGCTCCTTGCATTTAGGTATATAAGCGAGCAAACTATTTAAAAATTAGAATTTTTTCGCAGGATCGAAACATAAAAGCGCTGTTAGGGATAAATTTAAGTGTAGCATACTTTCAGGGCGCACACTTAAGCCTAATATACTACTGAGAGCAACTCCAAAATGACCTGTCTGCTCTCCACAAAACTTTTTCTGAGCCCAATGACCACGCCGTAAAGTCCAGGAATGCTTTAGGGACTTCGACAATATTGGGTGTGAATTTTGTTTACCTCTTTCTGAAGCGGCCTCGTATTCAAAGAAGATTCATATTCTTCTCTTTAAGTTATAAACCCATCAAAGAGCTATCAAAAAGAGCTATAAAAAATAAAAATATATTTTAGTACTAAACTGTTCTACTACATTTATTAAAACCTATTTCCTCCCATTTTATTTCCAGGAGTCCGGCCAATCCATCACCTCGCGTGTTTTCGAGGGCTGCGGTCGTCCAACGCTGGGTCGCACGCGTCGCTCAATCAATCCTAAGTTCACACAACGCACATCCGCTCCACTTGCACGGCAACGGCTTTCTTCTGTGAGCCTAAGCAGTTCAGATTCGAAAGTGATACGTAAGCGCGCCACCTTGGAGGTACCAACAGAACAAATCGAATCCGATATTTTAGATATCGATGCCGACGTTGATGATGCAATTGTGTTGCGGGAACGGCGCGCCGCTGANACGACTTCAATGGGCGCGATCCGAATCTCGATAAGCTGGTGCGCGAGATTAGACAACGCGTGAAAGAATCAAAGAAATTCTGGTCGAATTTGCCGCATCAGATTTGCAGCAATGACGAGATCTCTACATCGTCGGACGTGGATGGCATGTGCTGGAATGGAAACACAATCGACAGGTGAGTCTTGCGCGTATATTTGCTTAATTAAAATTTTTATTAATACTTGCTTTTCCGCTACTCCTTAGGTACATGCACCCCGTAACCACCGAACAGACCCGCAATCCTGAATTCCCTGGCAATCCGGCGTCAACACGTCAGATCTCGCAAGTTGCGACACAACTCTTCTACCTGAAGAATGTCATTAATCATCTGCGTAATGCCTACAACGGACAAGATGTGGAATGGAGTGATCATGGTAAGCGCGCTACAAAGCATATCCATACTTCTATTCGTCCAGCATACTTACATCTCTTATCTCCTTATTTCAGAAGATGCTATCGATGGCAGCGGTGCTGGTTCAGGTGCTGGCAGCGACGATGAGGATGACGACGAGGGATCTGGCCTAAGCGGTGGTCCGTTTACACCCCCCCACCTTAAACCTACCGATCGTCCGTCGGTGCCAGCGAACAACATCGATGACGAGGATGGAGATGACGTAGAAGAGCGTCGCATTACGGACACTTCACACACAACGCGCCCCAAATACCCTGGTAGTACGAGTGGTGGTGCCGCCGCAGGCGGTGATACGAACTCCATTGAGGAAGAAGAGGAAGATGATGACGACGACGACGATGATTTGGATGCGGACAAGGACAGTGGGAGTGCGGGCGCGAAGACGGCGCCTAAGATGACATTGCGCCGTGCGCTGCTGATGTATCTACTGCCGCTGTATATGGCGTGGTTTGGTGGCTGTGTTGCCGATATGCTGTGATTCGTTGTTGTTGCTGTTGCTTGAGGCAAATAAAGGACCCTGACTGGTTTAGAGGCGTAGGGGATGTGCCGAATTTTTTGAATTCTAAAAATTGTTTAGGTAGTGATTAAGCGGTAGCCGGTTTTGTATGGCTGATGAGGTTATTGATGATAAGTAGGAAAGTGCATGGCATGCATTTCGTTGCATAATTTTAGGCGCATATGCTCTTTGCAGTTAGAGCGATTTAAATGCCCAGTGGCATTGAGTGTGTGGCAAGTTTTTGGCAATGTAATGAGTTTTAACTATCCTTTTAGGCGCTTCTTGAGAATATGTACGTTTTATGCGTTGCGAATAAACTACTTTTACTAAAAATGTTCACTACTTTTAGGCGCAGCCAATTTTCTAGTTTCCTAAGTTTGCCAATTTAACTGCATGCCTTTTTGAAACTACTTTCTATTCCTCAAGACTTGCTTGATTTACTACATACGCTTAACTCGTTTTTACAGGTTGAATTTCAAAACTTGAATGTTTATGAAAATTTTCTCTTTAGAGATATGTACGTAAAATTTCTTTGTAGCATACTTTTAGTGCTTCAACCAACTCAAATCTCGAACAAATACCCAGTAACGAAATATGCTGAATAAAAATCTACTTTTAGGCGCATTTCTATGAAAATATTTTTTACTAATTTATGCACAACAAAACAATTGCAAGAACAAACATAGATTTATCATTACAAGCGAATAATTTAAAAAATGAACTTTAAGCGAAACAAATCATTTATATACGTAAACAATGTAGCAGTTATAAAAAATTAGTTAGCTATTAAGCACAAAGTAATACATAATTAAAACAAAATTAATACTTACATAGGTACATATGTATGTACCAGCAGTTAATATTATAAAATTATAACAAAAACGACAAACAAATGTGTATGTAAAGCCGCGTGTATAACTTATATCAATGTATGTTTGGATGTGTAGAACAAGTGTTTGTAATTGAAAGAGTGTTGCTAACCGTGAGTCTGAACTACCGTGCGTGTGTGTGTTTCGAACTTTTTTTTTGTAACTCTTTTTGTTNATTTAAACTATTATTAAATCGAAAAATAAATGTGGCGAATGTTGAAGAGTGTAAGAGCATTTTAGGCGCAATAACAACCTGTATTTATCGTGTAAGCATATTTACTATATAATAATTATGAAAATTTTCCAATAAATAATTTGTAATTCGAAACTTTGTTGCATACATATGTATATTTTGGGCTTTTAAAATATAAAGTATAAAGAAGTGGGTGAGAAAAAAAATTAAGTGACAAAAAGCTAAATAAATAAAACATAAAATAAAAATTTAGATTCTGTAATCTAAGCATTACGGCACTTTAGGGAAGTCTTAGAATATGAAGAAGTAATTAGCTGATTCCCGTAACCTAATAACTTCAAAACTCTATATTCGAAAATTAGGGTTTTAAAACATTTTCGAAACTGTGAAGTTTTCATAAACCTTTTTCTTCTGGTTGAAGGAATGCGACTTACAATATCATACTTGCATAAACATTCATATACATACTTGTATTCAGACTAAATGAAAAAAGCAATTAAGTATATGCATATTTTGGAAAAAAACACGAGTGAGCCTTTATTAAACACTTTTTTTTATATTCCGATTTTGTTAAAAAGGCGTTAAGTAGTGTTAAAAATGCCGAAACATCTACGTACATACATATGTAAGTATGCATATTAGGGTGGTCAAAACAAGGTAAAGTCGGAATTTTAATGCCGCCACCCCCCTAGGATTGTTTTATACCGGAAGCAATATTTCCGATCGAAAAATATTGATTTTCAAAAATTCCATACCATTTCTACGAAAAGTTTTTTCCCCCATTTAAAATACATTGAAAATTTTGAGCACTTTGAGCGCTCTAAATGGGCATATTTTTTCGGAATAGAACAACCCTAGGGGCTGGCGACATTAAAATTCCGACCTTACTTTTTTGACTACATAAATGCATATATTACCAAAATTTTACCCATTGTAAATTTATATATGATCACTTTTAAAATGATGTCCCATGGAATAAGTAGTAGTAAATAGTTTAGAAATATCTTTGCAACCTTCAGCTGTCAGACAATAATTATATCCCCACAATTCACCACTAATTCTTTTACAAAATTTTATTTTATTAACAATACATTCTTAAAAAAAAAAGATTTTTTTTTTGTATTTTAGACAGTCGTTATTACGGTTTTGATTTTCTAACTTCTATTTTCTTATTTTTATTCAACAAACATAAAGTCCATTTCACTCTAAGTCTTTTTTTATTTAAGTACACACCCTACCTGTCGAAGCAACTGCGTATACGTAACTAATATATAAAATTGTTAAAAATTAAAAAAATTACCGACCAAATTTTAACGTAAATAAAAACACGTAAAATATTAAAAACTAAAAGTTTATTAGGCTATCACTATTTAAATGTTCATTTTTGCCTCATGCAAAAAAATTAATTCTCATTGATAGCGCATACTTTTCAGTGCTCATCCGCGAGACGTTTTCAAAAAATATGTTTTCTTTTGCTGTCTTTCATTCTATAAAATAATATAAATGTATTTATTATAAAAATATGAATATCAACACGTTAATAAACTATAAGCGGGAATTAGTATTAGTTAAAACACGTAGTTATGACCCCTTTTTAAATTATATAGTACATAATATGTATCGAACTAAAAAACAGCCATTAACTCATCTTCTTTAATTTATGAACACATATACATATGTATGTATATGCATATGAATGTAAAACAGAAACTTACGAGGAAGAGTAGAAGAAAATGTGATGATTATGAAAATTTAAAAAATAAACAAGTAAATGTATACGGAATGCAAAAATGAGTTTTCTTATTACAAACTGAGGAATATTAAGCCAAAAATTTAAAACTCTGCTTGAGTTCCCAGCTGCAGGCGACTTTCAAGCATAAAGCAACGCGACTTTACTAATTGATGTCGGCATGGGACAGAACTATTATTGTGACGGCTAAAGCTACAATTTTTGCCGCAGAGTTACATATTAATTTTTGCAATATGCATTTATGCCTATTCAGCGTAGGCAGTTTTAAGAGCCTAAAGCCGGCTTATCAGCTAATTATTCAAAATAGCTGCACGTAACGCTACAACAGCACATTGAGTTTTCAGTTTATCTAAAAGCAGATCTGTAAGTATTTGCTATTCACTTACTTACGTGGAGCTTTACGAGAGAATCTACTAGAATTTGAAGTAACATACACATTTTTTAAGGAAAAAAGCATTATTTTGTTATTAAAAAATATGTATGTATGCATATGTATTTATTTGATTTTCTCAAAAGACTAATACAAAACATCAAGATATAACATAATTCAATAGTCGTTTGTACGTACATGCTAAATAAATAACATTTTAAATTCATCCACGTACATTTGTGTATATAAAATTACTAAAAAATAGGAAGTGAAAAAAGGGCGTTACAGAGCCGCCAGCCTATTAGTTATGTGTTTGCACAGCAGTTTTTTTCTCATACATATGTATTTACATATATACGCATACATAGTATTTCTAGAACAGTAGACATTCAACAAGTTGTGGTATGGATATTTGAGCATATAATTTACTGAATTAAAAAATATATAATTTGTATGCTCCTACATTTAATAAAAAAAAAAGTACTAAATTTGTGTAAAAGGAAACTTAAGGTGCTCCAGCCACATATTAATTGCTAAAAAATTAGCATTTTCAAACCAAAACTAGACATTTGCTGCTCTAAATTCTAAAAATTCAACACCTGTAAAAACCGGATGTGTCTAAAATTGGTACCGCCATTATGTTGCTGCAACAAGTAGTTTTCAAAATTTACATTTTTGGTGTTGGTAGCCAGAACGCTTGAAGGCTAGTTAAATTTACGCCATAGAATGCTGCCACTGGCACTCACATATGTATACACATACGGTTCTGATGCAATTTATTTACATTTCGACGGCTGGACGCGTTTTGATGTACACAAAGACAATGATGAGCAACGCAAATACGCAAACTGCCGGCAGGACTACCGTCTTAAGCTGATTTTGTATGGCCATATTCTCCATTTTGCGCTCCTTCTTCTGTTTGCGTGTCTCCTTCACTTTACCGCGTAGCTGTCGCATTTCGCTAGCAAATGGGGGCCTGTGAACGGGTTAACGAGGATTCTGCGAGAATAAATATATTTTATATATAGTCAATTAGTATCGTTATACAGCTTTTTCATAAACTTACTAGTAAAACAGGTGGACAATGTAGGAAAAAATAATGAAAATAAATGAACTATCGGTGGACTGCTTGCTCCAACCACTTGTCGTACGTGTTTGACGTTTGACAACGTCAACAAAATTTTGGCTACAGCGAAAGTTGGGGCCGCACAATGTTGCCTCGCGTGAAGAATTTTCCCTTACCGGCTGACGGGAAAAATTAGTTGAAAAATTGCACGTTCAATAAAATAAAAAAAAAATAAAAATCCTGAACAACATTTTTTTTATTATTATTAAACATTTTCATCGAAGAAACTGAACGCAAAACGTATGCTGCTACAAGGGCTTCAATAAGGCGTTTTGATGGACTAATGTTTAATGGAAATCAAAAACAAAAAAAATATTGTTTACTATTTGGTCAGGTTTAGAATAAAGTAATTGTTTACTACAGTTAAAATTTAACTACTACACTATTCTACAGGTGAATTTACTTCGCTTATTTCGTATTGTCCATGAAATCTTTTGCTTCGTTTATCTTGGCAGCCAAGTAAGGAGAACCACCACGATCGGGATGATTGAGCAACATGATCTTCTTGTGTGCATCTTTTATCTGTTAAGAATAATATCGTAAAGCATGCATAAAAGTTGATAATAAGTCGTATGTTCACTTACCTTCAATTTGGACGCACTAGGACTTACGCCCAAAATCAGAGAAGCCTCACGCTTATTCATTTTTGGATCGAAGCCTCCTTTGTAGTATTTCGAGTTCGCTAAGGTTTCTGCGTCAAATTTGGGTAGATTTTTCATAGTTTCGCTTAATTTTGTGGCCATAGCAGGCATGCGGCGCATGAGATGCTTCCCCGCAAAACCAACTGCAGCTAGACCTATGCCAGCAACTATTATCGAGCTTGCCTGCAACAGGAAAACGTTTTTAAGAACGCATGTAGGACTACGGAAATATATTCGGTCTACTTACCATTTTATGTAATGTGGAAAGAAATTTGTTTTCGTATATTTCTGGTAATTTCACAAATTACGAATTTGTTTTTACGATTTTTTTTTCTCATGTGTTCCAGAAACGTCAAAATCAGCTGTACGTGAACTACGGTGGGAGATGCCAGGTGACTAGAAAATGGCTTTGTTTCTTTTCTTTTTTAGCAGATAATTATCAGGAAGAAGAGATTAGAAAAATTTATAGAAAAATGCAGCGTTTTTGCTGCATTTAAAATGCAACATCTAGCACGTTCGAACATATTTTTTCGAAGAGCGTTCATGCTATCGCATTTGGTCGGTTTCACACTGGAACATTTCTACCACGAGAACAACTCAGTTTGTTGGCAAGAGAGGCAGTGCGGTGAGGTAAAGTTTCTCAAAAAGTTGTTCCAACTTCTACCACGCATTAAGCTTGATATACAGTTCAATGCGAGCGTGAGTGTGAACTTTCGCAAAGGCAAAGAATTCCATTTGTATTCTCATGGACGCTCACACTCATCTGTCAAAACTTGCCGTTCACATGCGAATGCTTTGTGTACGCACACAGTGGAGTGTGAGCTCGAAAAAATGCATATTATGCATTTTAAATTAGTTTTTATTCTATAATTCTGAAAGATATTTTAATTCTCTATCTTTTCATGTCTCAACTATAGCAAAAAGTTGAGTAATAACGCAGATATTGGCAAAATAGAAAGCTCACGCTCACGCTCGCATTGACCTTTATATCAGGCTTTACGCGAGTTCGAAATCGTATGCTTTTGACAAACAGCCGTGCTCCAGTCGCTTATTCAGATACGTATCTATCACGATCAATTCGCACAGAG